CCATTGCTACGCCTCGTGGTTTCACTTTAGCTGATACTGATTGATTAACGACTATAGCTGACAGCTTAGCGCAGCAAACTATGAAACACAACTCTGACCAAAGCTCGACAGTTGGACTGCAGCATAAGGAACACTGCAGACAATAAACACCTTCATCAATCCATTAAATTCCCCTAACATTTCTGGTCCTGAAAACTGTTATATCAGGGCTACGCTGGAATGTGTTCAAATCATTCACCAAGGGTCTAACAGCAGAGTAAGTATATTACACCACCATCAACAGGAAACTTATTTAAAAGTTGTACTACCGCATCGTGCAACACCTTGTTGTGTTATGCATCAGTAAGTATACAGCCTACGCTGGCCCATTGTTCAAGTACCACCTATTTCCATTGCCTCGGTGTCCAGCAGTTAGCTGGACGATATGCATGGTTTATTGGTCCTTATCCGAAAAGACTAGAATGTCTATCCATTTCTTGATATTATAGAAAGGTAGTGCATTCTCCTCAGTTATTTTAAGACTTGGAGTGTTGGTCCGGCCGGGGCTCGAACCATCGACCTCGACCCTCCCGCACAACAGTCCAGCGGTCTAACCAATTGAGCTAACCGGAAGAAAAGATATCAACTACTTTCCTTCCCCCACCTGTAACTTTGAATCAGGGACACGATCTAACCAATACTTGTCATTGCGGCCTCAATAGGAAAATAATTTGGATATATCAACAAAGTTGAAATGATAAATTGGCCACCGTAATGATTACAAAAGCTGACGTTTCGAGCGTTAGCCCTTCGTCGGAGCGAATAGAGGAATTGTGGGTTGTGTGTGCTTTTAAAGGCAGAAAATGGAGCTACGTTATTGGTGGGTGCATGGCAACGAGAAAAAAATGGTGACTTGGAAAGGCTCTTGAAAGGTCCGTTTGGCGAATCTTCGTTGATAGTTTTTTGCCACCATTTTCTGAAAAAAAGAGAATTTAATTCTCGGTATTGAAAGATCACAATAGCGTTTTATACCCCAACAAGCCATGGAACGGGACCTTAGTGGAGCACTAATCTGTTGGATATAAAAAAGATTCAAGACGGCTCAAAGCAGCACAGAACATTTTCACTTTCATTTAAAGACAGAAATTTTTTAATGATTATTTCAAAATAGCCGTTGGCTAAAAGATATGACCTTTAGTGGTTGTTATTTTATTGAGCGTCTTTTCACCCAAAACGTTTCCGTGGAGATGGTATCACCAATCAAAACACACTTTAGTCAGCTCTTCCTGCCGATAATTTAAAAATGTGCATTTGCAAGTAAAACGATCATCCAACTCACACTTCTTTGGAAAGTAAGGCCTAATTAGTAACATCGTAATCGGCAATTTGATGAGAAAAATTTTTTTTAGCTGTTTCTGCTGCTTTTTGCCCATGAGATAACATCAACCTCCAGTAAAAACCTCTAAATTTATACTATTATCGTGCAGTTCAGTTATTCTGCGAAGAAAGATCCTTTTAAAGTTCTTTCTATAATTAGAGCTCTGAAAGGCATAAAGAAACGGATTTAAACATGAGTTGAAGTACNCCCGGTCGTACCTCTGGTGGTTGGAACAGTCACCTGTAGGCTGTTTGGGTTGGTGTACAAATTCCTGCAGGCCACGCATTAGTATTGTAAATCCCAGGGCATGGTCTCATGAGAAAAAGATAGAACGACACCCTATCAACCTTCTTCGTTCTGCCACAATCTTGGATGACAAACACTCCAAAGATTTAATTTCAAGTATAAGATAAAATTATTTCCTTTCTTTGGTGAGTTACACAAACACTTTGCTATTTTCCTCATTTTCAGAGGTCATTCTGAACTTGAATATGTGTTAATTCCCGGCTCTCCCTGCAAACTCCATAAATCTCTTCCTTGACCTCCATTTGATTGACGTTCAATACCACCAGTGAGAATGACAGTTATAAAAATATAACAGGTCATACTTCTTGTTATAATTTAATTCTCATTGTGTCAATATAACATTTGAGAAAGCAAATTAAGAACATCTTAAACCGAAAGATTGCTTGGGGAATTCTTGCTTTCGATACTAATAAAAATTTCTACAAATCAATTAAAATTAATACAGTTCTAAACCAAATCTGAGAAGTCTGAGCAATATTTACTAGATGAAATACCCAATGGAAAAATTTGAGCGTCTGAATATATTTCACAAATGAGATTCTTGCAGCTGAAGTGTTATCTACGCCTACTACGGTATCGACTGCTGCTTCCACGATCAGACTGGGTTCTTCTAAGAAATTCATCACAAGCCGCAGCATATGGATCAACCTTACAAACCAAAAACCACAATATTAGTGATAAATATCAAGCAACCAATCATGGAAAAATATTCGCCTTCAGAGCGCCTTCGAGGTGCGTCCCAATTCGCTGGGAAGGGAACTGAACCATGATGTCATTATATGGCAAAAAGTTAGTCTTGCACGTTAAGGAATAGTCGGTGTTTAAAGGCCATCAAAAATCTTGACTAATTGTCTCCAACGATGTTGCTTAAACAAAAATTGTCACTTCCACTCCAAAAGTTTTGAAAAAACGGAACCGTTTTTCGCAGTTTGGGCACCTACGTAAAATTTCGATAATCAATCATTCCCAGTTGGCGGGTTATTCCTTATGCAAATCCTTCTCAAATTCAACGGCCAAAATCCTTTATTCATTCGAGATGTGATCTTTTAAGTACCCACGCTGGCAAAATTCCGTTCGCTTCTCTTATTCCTGATTAAGTTATTCCCCAAAAATGTGAGATGCCAATTACTCGTTTTACACAGGTGCCATTTCGGGAAAACAGCTTTTTGAGATTAAAGAAAAAAAAAAAGGTCAGGGTATAGAGTTGTATGCTGTTCGCACCATCAGATCGCGCTTTAGGGTATGTATCGCGCACCAATCAGGTTACTGCATTAAGACAAATATTTGAACTAGGATATTCATCAATCAATGCTCTTTTCCTTTTACAAAAATGAAAATATCAGTTACACAGTGTCCCACTTAAACCCCACAAGCCAAAAAAGTTATTCTTGCATGCGCAGCATGCCTATGTATGATGTTTGTTGTCATTTCGTCTCAGTTGCAGTTTGAAAGCACAATTCCTTCAACAGGATGTGAACGTGAAGAAGCCCTGTTTCCAGCAGAGTGGTAGAACATGCCAAATACTTACTGTCCGGTGGTAACCTCCACTTCGTGAACTGCTGTGACTTATGTGCAGAGGTGGGTAATAGGATGGCACGTCTACTCCTCGAGTCGAGAAATGTGACTAGAAGATAGACAGTAATATCTCATCACAGGAATTAAAAGGCTTTAAAACGGTCATTTTTGTGTATCTCCCTGGCTGCCTAACGGCAGGCAGGCTAAATGGGTCATTTTCGTGTATCCCCCTTCGGTACCTGACGGCAGGCCGAATTTGAAATGACGTTGAAAATTTTCTCAGTTAGAACCTTCCTAAATTAAGTGACAGGCAGCTTGTTAAGTGACAGGCAGTTAAGTTCTGTAAATAGCAGTAACGTCCACTGTTTAAATACTGTAGCCAACAAGTACTGAGACTGTTGATTTGCCGAACGTTTAGTTGCCCTGACATTTCTGATGACAAAGTAAAATAAATTCCATTTTTTATCGGTAATGATCTGCCCATAAGACAAGCATTTTCACTGGCCAAACACACAAATTCGGCTTGTCTTTAAGTCCTCTATTTTCACGACCCTCGAACTTCAAAAAAACAGCCATAAAATAACTTCAAAAACACAGCCATAACATAACTTCTAAAAAACAGCCATAAAATAACTTGAAAAAAACAGCAATAAAATAACTTCAAAAAATCAGCCATAAAGTAACCTAAAAAAAAACACAGCCCTAAAATAACTTTATCCTTACTCGTAGTGGAGGTAAAGAAGAAGAGTGACGTGACCGCTGGTACTCCCGCATGTAGTCTGAATAGGACTGAATAATGGAGCATTTGGAAGTTATTACATAAAACAGGATGCAAAAAAGGTGGGGGGTGGAGCTAGTTTCAGGATCTTTCAGGGCCTTTTTGATATGAATAGTGTAGAAGTAAGACAACTGATTGCTCTGCATTAAGCAAACTAAAAGAAATAGCGTCATTCTGTGGCTTCTTAACTGGAAAAAGTTCTTGGTCTTCCGTTATTTGTTTAGTTCTTGTTGATGTGGAATTTATATAGTGCATTATGCACACTAATATGTTCTAATATGCTTAACAACCCTTTGTGAAGGAATTTGGCCAGACGGTATTGAGCAGCTAATTTTTGAAGGAAATCATTTTGCAGGTGCCTCCAGTTTTAGAAACAAGGTCAGACCACAATGCCAGTTCTTTTACGTCCCTGCTTACCACTAGGATAAAACGAAGGAGAGAGGGCTCACAGGTTATTGTCTTCATTCTCGAAGACTGCAAGATCTAACCATTGGCAGATTCTGTAGCAAAGGCAGTACATTCTTCTTAGTTATGTTGACCCTGAGGGTTGGTCCTGTCTAGGAATTGAACCCTCGACCTACCACAAAGCAGTTTAGCGGTCTGCAGCCAGAGCTCATCAGTCCATTTACTACCCCATCTTCCTACTCCCTACAAACCAGAGCTAATCAGTCCATTTACTACCCCATCTTCCTACTCCCTACAAACCAGAGATACATCAGTGACTGCTACAATCCTTTGTTTCCTTCCCTGCTTTGTATTCCTCCCAAACGTACCAAATTAAAACACAGAGCAAAAGGACTACTCTACTTACTCCATGGAGAAGAGTCTCACGCCTCACGCCACCATAACGAGATCTAAACAAATATAAATTATAATAAATTAATAGATACTCCATTGGTGACAAAAAGGTTTAGGATTATTCAGTGAACTACACCAACCATTCGAGGAGATACAGAGCATGCTTAACATCTGTGTCCAACATTTAGTAAACAATTGGTAAAAACTTCCATCTATTGGATAGAAAAGTTACCTGTCCTCATATCGCGAAGATGGTTCATGGTGATCTCGCACATGATGCCTTGATGCTGAAACTAGAAGGTAATCAACACCCATAAAAACCTTGAAACAATACATAAAAGGCGAAAAAATACCCAAATTGTCTCTCTAAATGCTCCCTGTTTGCAAAGAAATTTTTAGCGTTCATGTTAAGCAGATCGTTTTCAGAAATATTTAGTGCTAAAAAGTAGCTTAACTCCTCACAGTTCAAACACAACGTTTAAGGCAAAAACAGAGCTACTTTAATGCAATCAACAATTCAGAAATGTCCAAACACGTAATGACGTTACTCTCCAAATGAAAGCTAGAAGTTCAAATGCAAACACTTGACAATAAGTAGGAGTGACTTTACAACCAAAGGAACGAATTACAGGTAATATCAAAAATGAACTATATTCAAGAAAATAAAAATATTTGTAAATTTAAGATGAATGCTTGGCCCAAACCACATTCAAAATGTAAAAAAAAA